TTTTTTAGGTTGTATTTAAGCATGTTGAGAACATTAGGATGCACAGGGTACTGTTCCCCAAGGCTCCCGATGCTGTGTTGAAAGAACATTTTGCTGTGACCACAGTCACCAGAAATCAGTGGCCAGCCGCCAGAACCTTGGGATATGGGGCAGGTAGAGCAGGGGATACCGTGCTGCTGGTAATGTGCCGCGGACAGTACCATGCAGGGCTTGGTCCTCTAGGCCAGCGGCTCTCAACCTGTGGGTCGCGACCCCTTTGGCAGTCGAATGACCCTTTTACAGGGGTCGCCTAAGACCATCCTGCATATCAGATATTTACATGACGATTCATAACAGTAGCAACATTACAGTTATGAAGTAGCAACGAAAATAATTTTATGGTTGGGTCACAACATGAGGAACTGTATTTAAAGGGCCAGAAGGTTAAGAACCACTGCTCTAGGCCACAGCTGAGTGCAGTGGGTAGAACAGAAACTAATTATTGGAGTCTTTTTTTAATTTTTTTTTATTTTATCGATTTTTTACAGAGAGGAAGGGAGAGAGATAGAGAGTTAGAAACATCGATGAGAGAGAAACATCGATCAGCTGCCTCCTGCACACTCCCCACTGGGGATGTGCCCGCAACCCAGGCACATGCCCTCGACCGGAATCGAACCTGGGACCCTTCAGTCCGCAGGCCGAGGCTCTATCCACTGAGCCAAACTGGTTTCGGCTAATTATTGGAGGCTTAAAGCAGAACTAGGAGCAGTGCTTGTGTAAGAGTAATGTTCCTTCAAACATTAAACCCAGCAAAGGCTTGAATTTAGTTGCAAACTCTTGCACCATCTTGAGTAGAGGGACACCTAAGGCCAAAGTCCTAGACTATAAGCCAGGACTTACTTGTGTCTGGGAAATAAACTTTTTCCTGGTAACATTTATGTCCATAAATTGTCATTCAGATTGGATAGTCAGGCCGCTCTGGTTTTTACGCTCTTCGCTGGGTGTGCCCTCGCATCCCAGCTGCAGTGTGATTGCAGGACGCTTCGTGGTGAGGGGAAGGGGTAGTTGGGAGCATCTCTCCTCAGCCAGGCTGCAGGACTGAGCGGCAGTGTAAGGCAGTGTGCCAGGGGGCAGCTAAGGCTGTTCTTTATTCTGCCTCCCTTAGATTTCCCAATCTGAAGTCTGTCCGGGAGCTCATCTTGAAACGTGGACAAGCCAAGGTCAAGAATAAAGTCATCCCTTTGACGGACAACACAGTGATTGAGGAGCATCTGGGTGAGTACTGCATCTTAGGGATAAGTTTTGGCAAAAAGCAAGGCTCTTTGGTGGTCCTGTGTGGGGTCCAGGTTATATTCTTGAGATCCCAGGAACCCGCCAGAGTGCCAGGTTCTGGTGTATGAGAGCCTCTCAGCACACGCTGGGGAAATTTCGGATAAAGGAAGCTGCCCTTGTGTTTCTTAGGGAAGTTTGGTGTCATTTGCTTGGAAGACCTCATTCATGAAATTGCCTTCCCGGGGAAGAATTTCCAGGCGGTCTCAGGGTTCCTGTGCCCTTTCCATCTCTCGGTGGCCCGTCACGCTCCCAAGAATAGAGTGGGCTTCCTCAAGGAGGTGGGCTCCCCCGGTTATCGAGGTGAACGCATCAACCAGCTCATCCGGCAGCTGAACTAAACCCAGGTGAGGCGGGGCTGCAAGCTGCCCTGTGCTGACTTCCTGGGCTAAGCTTTGTCCCTTAAAAATTCTTTTTGCATTTGCCAGTATATGAGAGGAACTTTGGCATTGGGGGCGAGAGGAGGCTGGTATTTACGAGTCTAGTGGATGGAGACGTGCTTGGAAGGGTGAATGCCTGGTTAGGACATGGGACTGTGTATTCCAAGAGTTACAGGCTAGGAAATGTTGAGCAGTGAAAGAAACCTCTGTATTAGTGCGGTTATTTAGCGGAAAGTGGGGAGAGAGTAATACTAAAAACTAAATAGAAAGGATTTGAAGATCTAAACCATCCATTTTGTTGAAGGAATCTTAACTCTGAAAGTGCTCTTTATCGTGGTTATTACAGTACTCTTAAGTGCCAGGTCACAGTTCATTTGTATTAACAAGACTGTGTTTTCCTTCCTCCCAGAATATCTGAAAGCACACTGCATTGGAAGCATGTGTTTCTGTTTTTTGGAATTATCCTGTATCTTCAAAGAAGATTATTTTCTGCTATATCTTCAGAAACTGCAGGGGAAGGGTCAGGGAAAAGATGGTGGTGATGTCCCACTTCCAAAGGAAAAGTCCAGTGTGTTGGCCAAGTTCCCACGTTGGCCACTGCTGCCACCTCTGAAATCAGCCAAGGACTCACGCCATGGAGGAGAGGGTCCTGCGTCACAGATAGGAGATGTCCCTCGTCACATCTTCTGGGCCCAAGCGTGAACTCAAGACGGCAGTGGGCCCAGCCCAGAGGCATACCTGAACTTGGGGTTCCCAATGCCTCGTTTTGCAAAGAACTTGAAATACATTTAGAAGAGCACAGAAATGGGGCTCCGTTGTCTCTGCTGCGTGTCCGTGTCCCAGCTTTTCGGTGACAGCTTTGAAAGCTCTCGGGCTTGACTGGCTCTAAATTTATCTGGTGGCTTCCTTTTCCTAGCTCAGGATTTTAACCTATTCTTGGATTTGTGCGAAGGGAAGGACCATTTCCCCAGAAAAACATGCATCCACTCCAGTTTTTGCTCAAGGGCTTAGGGTGTTCGTAGACTCTTCTCAGGGACCCATGCACCTTACACGAAAAGGCCTGCACTATCAGGAGTGGTTGCCCAGGCCTGGCCTTGCTAATCTGGTTCCCTGTCCTGTGGAAAACCAAAGCTTGCAAGATCGCCTTTTCCCTTCAAGCTAATGGGTGTTTCCTGTTAGGAACACAGTGGTAGAGACTGAGCCCCTATACCGACTTTAACTTGGGGTATTGTCCCCCATTTCTGCTGGGCTTTACGATCAATTTTCTGGTTTCCCTGATGATCCGTCCTCTGCTTTAAGAACCCAAAATCAGGAAAAAATGAACCATTTTCTTGGTTTGGCATGGATGAAATTGGCACTATTTGGTCTCTGAGGCCCTGGGCAAACTTAGTTACACCCTTTCCTTGTGGGGCATGGCGACAGTGTTTTGGACAGGTTCAAGCCTTGGACTGACGCAGTGGTCGGCAAACACATTAGTCAACAGAGCCAAATATCAACAGTACAACAGTTGAAATTTCTTTTGAGAGCCAAATTTTTTAAACTTTATAGGTAGGTACATTGTTATTAACTTAATTAGGGTACTCTTAAGGCTTAGGAAGAGCCACATTCAAGGGGCCAAAAAGCCGCATGTAGCTCGCGAGCCGCAGTTTGCCAACCACGGGACTGAGGAGAGGGCACAGTCCTCATTGCCACGTGCAAGTCCCAGCTTGGAGGGCAGAGCCTTCCCAGCACAATTATAACAGATATAGTTGTAAACTTGAACCTATGGTCTGAACACGTGGCCCCACGTGCCTGAATGATAAAGTTCAGGTGCATGTAGTTGAGGAGAGTTGAAACCCACGAGAATGCCATAAACATCTTGATCATGCCCTTTGCCTTGTGGCATCTGCTATAAAATAAAGACACAGCTTGTGGGCATGGGTGCTGTCCATCAGAGGAGCAGCGTCCCACCGAGACCCAGCTTTCATTCTCTTGTCTATCTTTTCTAAGCCTTTCATCGCCCCCACTCGGTCACTGAATCAGGCTGAGCTGGCATGAGTCTGCCATGGCCATGCCGGCTCCCCACATTTCCTTGCATATTCTAGGCTGCAGGCCCCTCCAGGAGTATTGCTCTCTATCCTGCTGGTAATGCTGTAATAGACCAACATGAGGACACTAGTGCTCCTGGGACGTTACACTTGACAAGGGTCTGAATCTGCCTATGTTGTCATAAGTGCGTCTTCTCTTCTGCACTCAGTTGCCTCAACCTGCCATCGCAGCAGTTGGTGAAGGTGTGCCAGGCCCAGGTTAAGACTTGAAAATATGCTTAGCCAGTGTTGCCTGATCCCTTAAGATCAGCCTTGCTGCAGTTTGGCTCATGGGCCCTCAAACATAGCTGTGAAATTGAGTTAGTGTAACAGTGCCTCAGAGTGCCAGGTTATGAGGTAATTAATTAGGTGGTTGCCTCGGGAGTTAACCTGCCAGGAATAGATGTTACTCTAACACTGGAGAGCATTGTGAAATCAGATTACAGTGATGGATCTAAAGTCCTGGGAAAAGAACACTGTGGAAGCCCAGAGTTTGTACCCCAGATCTGTCTTACACTAAATACGGGAATAAGATTTTCACTCTTGCCTGTAAAAATGGGGCTAATTGTGTAGTCTAGCCTGTCTGCCTCACATGGTTGTTACAAGGATTAAGGAAAATAAGTTTTTAACTTAGAATTCTGTATCTATACTAGCACATATAAAGGCCTAAGCGACCAGGACTACTGGTGGACCAGTCGCTATGATGTTCAGTGACCACCAGGGGGCAGGCGCTCAATGCAGGAGCTGCCCCCTGGTGGTCAGTACCTCCACCTCCCCCCATAGGCCTCTATCTCTGGCCAGGCTGAGGGACCTCACCAGGCGTGCACCCCCCATGTCTATTGTGTACCGTGGTATGCCACTCCCCAAACAAGTGGGACTGTCCTTACTTCTGGGAAAAGCAGGAAGAGAAGGTGCAGGGAGCCAGATCCAGCGGTTAGAGCCAAGGGTTCTGGGGTTTGATTGGCTGTTCTTCAATGCCTTGGGATTTCATTTGCTTAAAGCATTTTTTTAAGTCATTTTGAGGGCAGATTTGACCATCAAACCTTTTATTAACTGCCTGGAGAGTGGCTGTCCAAAATCAATGCCACTTGAATCCTAAATTCACTTCCACAACCATCAGAATAAGCTGAAGCAGTATATAAACACGTTATCAACATTTCTAAGTTCTCAGTGTGTCCTAAGTTGCATTTTAAAAATGAAAACACATTGGTGCATACCACATAGTATGAGATTTGTTTCCATTGCATTGAAGGGCTTTTTGAAATTTGTTTATTGAAATACGGACACAAAACAACCCCATGGCGCTCCCAGGAGGCTTAAGTCCAGCTGAGACAGGTCAGGGCGGAAGCACAAAAGACGAGTAACTGGTCAGTACCCAGTTTTCAGTCCGAGTTTATGCGGGACAGTCCCCTCCAGATCTCGTAGCTGCAAAGGATCTCGAGCCTCGGGAACCCACGACGGCCCCTTAGGAAGACGTGGTCCTCGGTCCGCCGAGCCGGGCTCCCCCAGGTGTTCCCTCCTTCCCTACCCGAGGGTCCGCGTGCCTGTGGCCCGGGTCTAGGGCGGCGGCGCCGGGGCCTCGGCCGAGCCGGTGGCCTCCCAGGGCTTGGGCCTCCGCGGGAGCCGGGACGCCGTGGGTTCGCCATGGGTCGCGGCGATCTGGCGCTTTTCCAGGCCGGGGAGCTCCCGGCCCTGCTGCACCAGCTGCAGGAGCTGCGCCAGGGTCACCGAGGCCGGGGCTGACTCCGCGGGCGCGGGGGCTCGGCCTGACCAGCTCGCACTGCCTGGCGCGTCCATGTCCGACAGCCCAGCGGACCGGCGTGTGGGAGGCAAACATTTCCGGGAAGGATGGGTGCAACCACCTCGCAGGGGCCACAGGCCATACCAAGCCGCCCAGGCAGGGGGAGCACTTGAGAACCATGACCGGCTCTGCTCAGAAACGCTTGACACACCCATGCACAACTTCACCCACCCAGAGCCTGCACGGTGGAAGGCTTTGGGGGAAACAGGAAGGCTCGCAGCAACAACGTGCATGCGACGGGCTGATGCAGGCCAGAAGACCCACGTGTGCGCACGTACCTCCTTTCCTGCACACGCAGCAGTGCGCACGTCCCGGGACACCTGCATAGTCACAAGGCGGGCTCATCAACGTCCTGGACTCCGCAGCACCCACGGAAAGCTGCCGCGGAGCTATCTCCAGGAGCCTCCAGAGAACTGGGAGTAAGTGACAGCACTGCGGAGCCTGGCCCCTCCCTTCCATCAAGACCCCCTGGTGTTCCCAAAGCGGGTGAGAACAGAGGAAGCCAGGCCAGGTGTGCTACAGCCCCTCTGGCTGCTTGGAAAGCCAGGCCAGTGGTTCTCAGGTTTCTTAGTTTATCGGAAGCTAGCCTGATCTGGCAACACCGCCTTAATCATGGAATCAAAGTTCATTACATTAACAGGACAGACTAGCACCACGTGTCCTGATGCGATGCTCTGAGGACACTGCGGATGTAGGAATACTACACTCTTCTGTCCAATTCCTGCCAAAAATGTTCACTCTGAACCTCCTCTTGAGGGAATGGACAGACAAACCAAAGTGAGAGCCATCCTGCAAAATGACTGGCCTGGACACTTTATAAATGTTAATCTCATGGGAGAGCCTTCTGGATCATGTGGGTGGCCAGTTACCAACCATCACAAGGGTCCCTAGAAGAAGGAGGGCGTGTTTGAGTCAGAGAAGGAGATGCGATGATGGAAACTGAGGCAGACAGATTGAAGGTTATGCTGCCGGCTTTGAAGACGGAGGAAGGAGCCACAAACCAGGGAATACAAGAGGCTCCTGGGAGCTGCAAAAGGCAAGGAAATAAGGAATGCAGCCCTGCCACAACTTGATGTTAGCCCAGTGAAACCCATTTCAGACTTCTGACCGCCATATTGTGAGATTACAAACTTGTGTTGTTTTGCCCTAGCCAATTTGGCTCAGTGGATAGAGTGTCCGCCTGCAGACCAAAGGGTCCCGGGTTCGATTCTGGTCAAGGGCACAAGCAGGCTCCTCCCTGTCCCGGGCCCTGGTCAGGGCTCATGCAGGAGGCAGCCAATCAGTGTGTTTCTCTCACATCAATGTTTCTCTCTGTCTTTCCCTCTCTCTTCTACTCTCTCTAAAAATCAATGGAAACATATCCTCGGGTGAGGATTAACACACACACAAAACAAATGTGTGTTGTTTTTTAAAACTTTTTTGAATGTCATAAAAAAGAAAGAAAGAAAGGAAAAGAAAAGATTGGGGAAGTGTGTCAGATTAAAGGAGATATGAAAACTGCAAAGTGTGATCCTGGATTGGATCCAAGTTGGAGGGGAAGTCAGTTATTATGCTTTAAATATATTTTTTATTGTTGATAATATTACAGATATCTCCCATTTCCCCCCACCTCTTTTCCCCCCTTCTTTCCAGCCCCCACACCCCGCCCCCAGGTCTTCACTAACCTATGGCCATGGGCTATGCATATAAGTATATAAGTTCTTTGGGAAAATCAGGTATAAAGGACATTGTACCCTTGGGGAAATTTGAGTATGATCTGCATATTGGATGATAGTCTTCCAATGCCTACCACCCCCCTGCCCCATCTGCACGGGGTACATTCCAAGACCTCTGGTGGATGCCTGAAACCATGGGTAGTACTGGACCCTATATCTGCTATGTTTTACCCCATACATATGCACATACCTATGATAAAGTTTAATTTACAAATTAGTCTCAGTAAGAGATTAGCAATATAACTAATAAAATAAAACAATTATAACAATATACTGTAATGAAAGTTATGTTAATGTGGCCTCTCTATCAAATAACTGAGATGGCTACTAAATGACTAACAGGCGGGTAGCGTATTGTGTGGATATGCTGGACAAAGGGATGATTCGTATCCTGGGTGGGACAGCGCAAGACAGCTCAAGATTTTATCACAGGTTAAGGCTGGTGCTTTAAAACATGAGTTGTTGCCTGGCCAGGGTGGCTCAGTGGTTGAGTGTTGACCCATGAACCAGGAGGTCAGGGTTCCATTCCTGGCCGGGGCACATCCCCCAGGTTGTGGGCTCGATCCCCAGTAGGGGGCATGCAGGAGGCGGCAGATCAATGATTCTCATCATTGATATTCTAGCCCTCTCTCCCTTCCTCTCTCTGAAATCAATAAAAACATATTTTTTTTAAAAAAAGCTAACAACTTGTTAATTGTTTATTTCTGGAATTTTCCATTTAATCTTTTCAGACTATGGTTGACCTCCAATAAATAAAACCACAGAAAAGAAAGAAGGGGAAATTACTGGGACATTAATTTACGGAGAGCACAAATTGTGGCAAAATTGTGAAGAATTGTTTAATCTAAATGGTTTGAAACTTGTCAGAATAAAAAGCTGGACTTGAGAAGCTAGCCTGGTGGAAACTGACCACACTATATGCTGTATAATAAAGAATTTGACTGGCTTTTGTCCCTCATTCCTGGGAGAGAGACTAAATCCTTGGAATTTCCCAAGTATTAGGAGTGATATTCATGGTGGACCCTGACAGTGTATACCAAACAGGTGACTCATGGTGGCCCCTAAAAAGTTTCAGGATTGAGGCTGGCCATGCCAGAAAAACCAACCATGTGGTGAAAGGGTTGCGATTTTGAGCCCTGTGAGGTCTAGGGAGAAGAGAGAGCCTGGAGATTGAGTTCGATTGCCAGCCAATTATCTAATCAACTATGCCTGGGTCAGGAAGCCCCAATAAAAGCTCTGGATACAGAACTCAGTGGAGCTTCCTCATTGGTGAGCACACTGAGGTGTCAGGAAGATGACGTGTCCAGATTCCATGAGGAGAGGGCACCCACAGCTGTGCATTCAGGACCCTCCCAGACCTGGCCCTATGCACCTCTTCATGCGGCTGGTCCTGCTGATTCGTGTCCCAATAAAGTTATTCATAAGAATGGCTCTGTCCTGAGTTCTGTGAGTTGTTCTAGTGAATTATGGAACCTAAAGGGGGTTGTGGGAATCCCCAATTTTTACCCCGTCAATCAGAAGTGCCTGTGGCCTGGGAACCCTTCTGAACATGCAGCTGGCATCTGAAGCAAGAGCAGTCTTGTTGGGGTCCAGGCCCTTTAACTTGTGGGGTCTGCGCTAACGTTAGGTGGTTGGCACTAGAATTCCGTTGCAGCTGGGGTTGGTAACAGAACTCTGAATGGAACACTTGTGCACTGCTGGTGGGAATGCAGACTGGTGCAGCCACTATGGAAGACAGTATGGAGTTTCCTTAAAAAACTGAAAATGGAACTCCCATTTGACCCTGTGATCCCACTTCTAGGAATATATCCCAAGAAACCAGAAACAACAATCAGAAAGGATATATGCACCCCTATGTTCATAGCAGCACAATTCACCATAGCTAAGATCTGGAAACAGCCTAAGTGCCCATCAGTAGATGAATGGATTAGAAAACTGTGGTACATCTACACGATGGAATACTATGCTGCTCTCAAAAGGAAGGAACTCTTACCATTTGCAACGTCATGGATGGAACTGGAGAGCATTATGCTAAGTGAAATACGCCAGTCAATGAAGGAAAAATACCACATGATCTCACTCATTCATGGATAATAGAGACCATTATAAACTTTTGAACACTAATAGATACAGAGGCAGAGCTGCCTCAAACAGATTGTCAAACTGCAGCGGGAAGGCCGGGGAGGGTTGGGGGGCAGGAGGTAGGGGGGTAAGAGATCAACTAAAGGACTTGTATGCATGCATATGAGCATAATCAGTGGACATAAGACATTGGGGGATAGGGGAGGCTAGGGGACTGTCTAGGGCGGGGGGATAAAATGGACACATATGTAATACTCTTTGTAATACTTTAAGCAATAAATTAAAAAAAAAAAAGAAAGAAAGAACTTAAAAAAAAAAAAAGAACTCTGAATGAAGGGTGAGCAATCAGGACATCTTGGAGGGCACATAAGGCTGAGGACTGGCCCTAGGGTGTCATTGGGTTGCCAAGTGGCAGTGCTAATTAAATGCTCAACACTCTAGTGCAGTGATGGCGGACTTTTTTAGCTCGGCGTGTCAGCGTTTTGAAAAGCCCTAACTTAACTCTGGTGCCGTGTCACATATAGAAATTTTTTGATATTTGCAACCATAGTAAAACAAAGACATATTTTTGATATTTATTTTATATATTTAAATGCCATTTAACAAAGAAAAATCAACCAAAAAAATGAGTTCCACGCGTGTCATAGGTTCATCATCACTGCTCTAGTCTCTTAGGCTAAGATAAGGGCATTGATGGGAAATGGGTGGGACACTGAGAGGGGGTGGGGACATTGGCGCAGACATGGATGAGGCTGAGAATGGTTGAGTCCCCAGATTCTCCTGAAATAGTCTTGTCTGTGGAGACAACATCCTCTGTAGGTCTCCTGTCTCCCAGGACATCAGCCTCAGAGCCCTTCCCGCCTCCATCCCCCCTTGGCTCCAGGCCCTTCGTGAGTTAGATCCCAGCACAGCCTGCACAGGCCCACGCTAAGAGGAGAAAGCCCAGCCAGAAAGAGTTACAGGCCTTGCCAACCTGCCTTGGCGGGAGCCACTGGAACTTGTGTGGGAAACAGACCCAGCAGGGTGGAATGAAAGGCTCAGCACGGCCAAACTCACGGCCATGGATGCTCATCAGGATTTGGGATTTAATGTATTGGCTGGAGCACCTGGGAGAGGCATTCATAGTCTGCTGGTTTGGTTAATAAAGCCTGAACTTCATGGTAACCTATAGTTAATAAACTTGAAATGCCGGAATTTCCCTGGCATACTAGAGAGGAAGGAATCTGAAATCTCAGGGAGATGGGAAGGCTGGATTGGATTTGTTCTGTGCAATCTGTGTAGCCACTTCCAGCCACATGGTTGGAGGGGGTCAGGAAAACACTCCTTTACCAAAGCATG